AACATTGACTGAAATTGTGACAGAATTTTTTTATTGGCCGATGGTTCAATAGGCAAATTCATAACTGATCCCAGCAGTAACTGTTAGTACGAGCAAGCGAGTTATGATCCGGGGAACTTTATCCGGCATGTTCGTGCTACGCATTCCGAAAAAGCGCTAGAAATTGGCATAATGAAGGCAGAAGACGTAGCCACCAAAAAGCCCATCATTGTTCCGAAGAGGCCAATAGTCATTGGATCAGCAGCTGTTCATTGATTCCGTAATTAAGATTGTTTCGCTGCACAATCTTTCCCTGGCAAGCCTAGAATGGGAAGGCTTGAAGCAATTGTTTGATCCAATTGCTGAGGCTACCGGGTTAACAATAAATCGTTCGAACATTAAAACATACCTAAGATCAGCCGCACAGAAAATTAAATAATAGTTGTCGTAATAAATAAATATTCAGTATGTCCTGTGGGATAAGGATGTCATTTGGACATTGGATGAGTTTGTTTAGATTTCTTTAAATATTAGACTCAATAAGGACACTTTTGTACCCTTAATACAAGGCATGATTGAGGTTAACGAAAGACAGAAAGCGAAATATTTAAAAACGAAGATCATGGAAGTTATCAAGAGCAAATGTGTGTGTATAATCGAAGACAACAAATCAAGAAGACTGGCAACTCTTCCATTTTCTCATACGAACGCTATGAGACAGGTACAATTGCGTCATCTGCCGTTCAAAGGTAAATGCTTCGAACGAATTTGATAGCAAAGATTACATCCTCAGACGAAGGGTTTGTGTATTTGCTCATTTTTCTATGCGTTGCTTCCACCTTCACTCAAGCGCAGCGCTACTGTATCTGTCGCTTGGATTCTGGCAGAGTTGCCAGTCTTCTTGATATGATGTCTTTGATATAATGCAAATATTCTCCGTGACTAATTTCGGGAACAGATGAGTTGCAAAATAAACTAAATTTGATCCGTTGCGCTGTACACACGGTGCAGCTCGCTATATTGGAGGTAGTTAACAAGTCTAACGAGTCCGTCAAGAAAAAAAAAAACTGCAGCTGGTATCGGAACATACAATACAAGGCAGGGTTTGATGGCACCTCATTTCTCCCCATATGAGGTCAAACTCGATGGGAAGTAATTTATGTTGTGATGGAAAGCTTCGTCTATCAACAAAACTTGTTTCCAAAGCTTGGTAAGTTTTTATACAGTCATCGATCCATTTACGTGGTTTTCTTGATTCATGTAAACGATACTTTCATTTAATTTTCGTTTACGGAGAATTAAAAAAAAAACAATCTATAATCAGTTTCCTTATCTATTCGATTCGAAACTAGTCGAAAATTCACATACTTCCAAACGTAACAGAATAAATTTAACGTTTTCTCAAACCAAACACTTAGAAACAATTATAATAATTTTGATCGAGGCTCATATTTGTATGTTAACTAATAATCACGTTTTAAGTAAACTGTTTGACCATAGCTAACCAGAAACCATGAGAGGTAATACCATCCGGCATTGGAGCTTTGCCATCAGCGCGAAGTATTTTTAGTCCTCTGGTACTGGCGCATACTGGTACATATTAAGAATAAATAAATGTGTTATTAGTGTTATCATACAAATCTGGTTTCCTCGAAGAAGTATGATATTCAACATTAAGTGTTCAATTTAGGATTAGGAAGGGCAGCCTAATTTAATTTATGAATGCAACCCGATTCCCGAGATATGTGTCAAATAACATGTAACAGTTCAAATGTCAAGTAAATTCTCTCCCATAGTTTATTAGATGTTTAGAAAAAAATGTATGGTGAATAGATTATAATTTCTACAAATTTAAAATCATGTTTTCACAATTCCTAATCTCTTGCTATAAACTTTCTTATAGATTAATCAAGTCATTGGGAGTTCATCACTTATTATGAACAAGCCTTCAAGCCACTTTATCTGGCTACAAATAAAATGCTAGCAGGGCATATTTCTCTTTGTGACAGCTCTGGTTACAGCGTAAACAGACGCATCCTAAACTACACGCAGTGGGCACGGTACTGTTGGCAACACAATCGAACCAAGTATCGGTGGAGAGAGCCTTCAGCGCTCTTTCCTTGATATTTTCGGATCACCGTACAGGACTAGAGGGTAGCTGACATCCTCATTATTAAACTAAACCGAGAGTTTTATGATACAGTTTTACCAAATCTGCTTCAAAGCAATGAAACGTTGCTTTTTATTTGTTTTGTTCTGCTTGTGACTTATCGAAAACTTCATGTACGCTTTTTTTGTTTTGTTTGAATTGGTTAACATTTTTATCTTTAAATGCAGTTTCAGCTTTTTCTCGGTGGATTTTCAACCAATCGATATGATTTTCTACAAGTGACTAACTCACAATTGACACTGCTCACATCAAAAAAATTGTCGAAAACTCGAAGCGGGTCGAAAACCCGCTGAGAAAAAGCGGTATGTACGCCTCAGAGGGTGCCATCTTATTGGGGGAAGCCTGTATTTTCATTTTGAAAAACTAGTGAACGTGTTCCTGAGCTGGTATTACAGAAATCGGGACACAGTTTGTCTACGAAGAGATGAAGAATATGACTAAAAAATTAAATTTCACTCACCCAACTTCTGCTCTTCATCAAAAAAAGGCGAATGGCAAAGCTGAAGCCATAGTCACTGGAGAAACATTTCGAACAGGATTGGATGTAGCCCGGCATAAAGAATTTTTCACGTCGTACCAGATGTGGAATTGCCTTTCTTTAACAAAAAGTACGTTCCTCGTTTTGTTCCAGACACAATCCTAAAGAACAAGTAAGAAAATTCAAATAGAATTATGAATATCGATCTCATGAATTACCTGTTACTGCAATTTAAAACTCCAGTCCGTTAATAATGATGTTCAAACAGCTCCTGGGAGCGAATGGCAGCTTAAAAGTCATCATCAAAGTCAAAGCCATCTGTGATCTTTCATTCAGAATCAATAGTTTCAGGAGCGCCCATCGTACCGCGTGTCGAGCCACGTGGTAAACAAGGGCGATATCAATAGAAATTTAAGTGTTTCGTAATGTAATTATGATTTTTCGTATATATTTATAGATGTGCCCCACTTCTGGCCGTAACTACTGTCAATAGTACAAGCTATCTATCGTTTTTAAAATCATTAATAAATGGAGAATACCACGTGTAATTTTTTCCAGCGTTTCTCTAATATGTCTGTTCCAAGAACTACAATGAAAAAATATTATTTTTGCCATATAAATTTACATAACAACAAGCTTTAATAATTTTCTAAAGCAGGATAAGCATGTAACAAAGGCTTATCTCAGAATATTAAAAAATAAAATAAACGTAGATTCTCACGCAACTACGCTATCTGATAGGACACAGTTTGATGTGTTGTGAGAAGAGCGAAATCGTTGTTGAAAGTCATTCCCTAATAAAAATAACCATCAAAGATAGCTTAACGACGTGTTCGGGGTAACATCCAAACCATTTGTGGGATAGTTTACCCATTGTGGATACAGTTCGTTGATGGTATTTGTGTATTGGGGTGTTCACATATCGATTTAGACTATTTTGACATTTTTCCTTTTGAATTGGTTTTCTATCTCAGCTGTCTGCAGTCTTCACGGTACAACATGAGTGCGATGTACACGTTAGTTTTTGCACTCGCTTGTGCTCCCATTCTATGTTCGGCTATGTTCAAGCCCATTTGTACACAAGTTTGAACGCAAGTACAATGAACAAGTGCAAACTTCAGCTCGCACCGCGGCTCGCACCAATGTTCAAACTCATGTGCAAACGCAAAAGCTCAGAAGAAGAAGCGAATATAGAATGTGGAGAACAAGCGAGTGCAAAAACTAACGTGTGCCTCGCACACATTTTGTATCGTGAAGACTACTCATAAGCAAGGTTGCAAAGACTCATTTCAGCTAAAATAATGTTTTTCGGAATAATAAAACCAAAAGATGGTATGATGGCATGTTTTACTTGTAACTTACAAGAAGAGGTTACAAAGTATGCGTTGGAAACATAAAACCTGTAAATTTTGCTTTCTATGAGTCACAATCAGCGATTTGCTGATCGCTGAGTGAGTGAGTGAGTGAGTTAGTGAGTTTGTTAAAAATCGCTGATTGTGACTCTCATGAAGTGAAATAAACAGATTAAATATGTCAAACACATTCTTTGCAACCTCTTCTTGTATCCTACCAATTCAAAATTTGATCATGGCATCTAATTATTTCATAATTTAGAAAAACATTGTTTTAGCTGAAATGAGTCTTTGCAACCTTGCTCATAAGAAGAAGTTACGCTTGAGCAATTTCATAAAAGTTTCATTCTTTCGTTTGCAGTTTACTGACAGCGAGTGGTGTAGTGTGATATTAAGTTACATGTGAATTCGTAATCATGAACGGTATGTCATAATTATATTTTGTGATGTTAATATGGATTGCAATTTTTCACTGAAAATACACAACATAGGCAAAATAAAAAATGCATCCCTCTAATGCTCTGTTCGGACTACGGAGTAGTCTTGTAACATGTTACAAGGTTATAGTGATGACGTTTTTCTTGTTGATAATTATTATAACAACCTTGTAACATATTATAGATGAGTTAAATAATGTATTTTGTTTAAAGTCAGATTTTGGCCACTTCCCCGTTCTCTAGGGCACTATATGGCATTTTGTGTGCATACTACAATACAAATAAAGATTTTTTCGTATTATTAATCAGCAGCTAATTCACAATGTTCGCAAAAGTCTGAAGTTTAAAGCAATCATTTGTTTATTCCCTGAATACTAGGTAATACGCCTAATGTTAATCTCAGAACACATTATTTTCATTACAATGAGAAAGATAATGTGTGCCTATGCAAATTTCCTGGATGCACCAGGAGACTCAAAAATGTATTGAGCAGTTTGAAAAGGCATTTGGCTCAAATACATCCAGAAACCGGTGCAAAAATTGGAATCACAGGCTACAAACGCATAAAACCCGACCAACCGATCTCCTCGCCATCTCCAGCAAAGCGTTTGAAAACCGTATCTGTTCAAGTGGATCCTGTTGAATTCCATTGTGGATTAATTGAAATGGCGACTATCAATTCGATTTCTTTCAATTTCTTCAACTCGCATGCTTGTCGCGCTACAATTGGACCACTAGCTAAGAGCTTAAACATTCCCGTCTATGGTGAAGCAATCGCTTCAAGTATCCCTGCTATCGCCAATATCATCAGAGGCATGATTGCGAATGAGTTGAAGATTTTTTTTTGTTTGGAAATAGATGGAGCTGTGCGGCACAACCGAAAGATTTTCGGGATTAACGCTCGAATACTTCATGGTGGAAAAGTCTCCACTCGCACATTATCGATGATGGAGATAACCGATAAGCAAACTGCTCAGAACCTGAAAAACACCATTGAAGAAGTATTGAAATCATACAGCACTGATGTCACGCATGTTTATGCTTGCACAGCTGATAACGGAAAAAATGTACAAAAGTGTGGGCAAGAATTGAATAAATCGCAACAAGTGGCACTCAATTCCATTGAGCACGAACAAGCCAGTGATGATGAAAACGATGATGAAGAAGACGATAATGAATGTCACACTGGTGAAATTGACGAAATGTTGGAGGCCGTTGAGAACATTGTTCTTAGCGGTAACGAATCCTGTATTGCTACACTAAAATGCGCAGCCCATACTATTAATCTGGTTGTAAATGATGCTGTGGATAAGGAATGCGACATTCTTAAAAAAGTCCGAAAAATTGTTAAAGCGTGCCGGAAAGTTGGATACAAGCCATTTTTCGAAATTGAGAAGGTTCCGCTGCCCAAAATAGATGTGGAAACGAGATGGGGCTCTCTATATGAAATGATCAACTCGTTACATAGCAGAAAAGCATTTTTCGAGGATATTGGTCCAAAGTTTGAAGAATTGCACGTAACAGCGGATGACTGGACCTACATTGAAGAGTTCACCGCAGCATTCGAACCGCTGTTTGTTCTAACAAAAGCTCTGCAAGCGAATGATTTGATTCTAGGAGACGTTTTCAAGCTCCTAAAGATATGTCAACTAAAGCTCAGTAAGATCCCTGCTGCCAATAGATTTTCAGAAAGTCTTAAACAAGCACTACAGGGTAGAGCTATACGTATGATGGATAATGATGCCTTCCGTGCGGCTTTGCTATTCGACCAACGCTGGTGCTTTATCGACTCGCCATATGTTTCAATGGATGAAAGGCTGAAGGTGATCGTAAGTATAATTAAATATTTATGCAGTTTTTTTATACGATAGATAATTTATATTTTTGACTACATATGGTGCAAAGTAAAACAAAATGTCTTTGATCACCGGGATAATTTAGATTAGCCTAGTTTTATTATAATGGGTGTTCAATAAAAAATGAGAATGTCTTCAGTGCCGTCCAGCGCTCTTGTGAGAGCATCGCGACTAAGTCGCGTCGTACGGTTGACCAGGCCCCCTTCTTCCAATATTCATTGACGTTTTTTGAAGAATAAACATTATGTTATTAAAAAAATACTGAATTCGTTGAAAACAATTTTTTTTTGCTAGCTATGTGACTGAAAAAATTCTAATTTTTTATTGAACACCCGTTAAATTGAAGAAACAGCATGCACTTTGAACAGTTTAAAAGTCGTTTAAATTTTTAATAGCCGTTACACGTTAGAAATCAATTAAATCAAGTGGTGTTGAGTACTTCGCACTGATGAAGTCTGCAAGTAGTAAACGAAATATGCGTATCTGTCAAAATATAAGCAATTATAAAGGAATTTAAAGGAAATAAACCAACCCACTCAAAGCTCTTCATAAAGACATTCCGTTAAGAGGCTCGACAAATTTAAAGGATTAAATCAACGTATTTTTTGTTAACTGAATAAAGTTTTAACAAGTTTGGAATAACTTTTCTTTATTGCATTTTTCACAAGTTTTTAAACTTTAACCGGACAGTTCTGTAGTTTTAAAATTACCGAACATTGGAGGCTTGCATTAGTGTGTGAGCCACAGAATACGTGCACATAATTAATGAAGTCAGTTAATTATGTTAGTACATAGACAAAATTACATTGTATGATTAATTTTGCACAAAAGATTGAATATACTTTTTTTTTGTATCAAAAAGGAAATTAAACTTAAGAAATTTACAATATTCTTCGATTATATTATCTTGAAATTTATTTTCAAATTATCTAGGAACACATGCTGAAAGTTGCCAACATATTGAAGACTTTCAAAAAGAAATCTTCAATTCAACAGCAATCAGAACTGCCAGAATGTCTCGCTGCTACCAAGTCAAGCGATGACGATTTTGAAACCATGCTTGAAGAAGAATGTCAGCGTGCGTCAACATCCAAGCTTAATCCTTCTGAGATCGATTTAAAAGTAAAACTTCTTGATCTGATATATTAAAGTACTGGGAGGCTCGGCGTTATGATGATGAACAGATATACGACCTCGCTATGATAGCTTTATCCGCATCAGCAACAGAGGTGTCGGTAGAGCGGTGTTTCTCTGGAAATAAAACTTCTACTGGAACAACACCGACTCCGCATGTCACCCAGTATGCTTAATGATCTGATGATAATTCGATTCAATAAGGATCTTTTGGAACCAGCCATGGAAAAATACCGCCAGAATGATGCAGTTTAAAAACCAAGTGTTAAGATTATTCATGAAATTGTATTTGGATCTATGTTTCCTTTTGTTTTGAATTTATGAATTTATGTTTTTGACTAATTTTGTTTGCTTTTCATAATTTTATAATAAATAATAAACAAACTTTTTTATCAGTATACTTCGAAAAAATCGCAACTTGAAAAAGTACCACGACAACCTTGCAGAAAACAGTAATTTCCCAAAATGCCAGGGTACCAAGATATGAAAATGAACCTTATTCAGAAAAGATTTTTGTTCCATGTGAACCTTTAAAACCCAAAAAAAAAACGAAAAAAAAATAGAAAAAAATATCTAAAAACAAAAAAAGTTGATTTTTTCCACTTTAGGCAGACCGGAAAATTATTAATTGTTAATTTTTTCATGACATCACATGGTGACGAAAAGGGAGGGGTGTTGATTTACCCAACATTTTGCGTGACGTACTTAATGCATGGAAGTGCCCACCCTTTTGTGCGCCAGAAAATTTGCAACATTTTGGCGTAAAGCGAAGCTGCAACATGCACACTGCTGGCGCGCAAAAGGGCGAGCACGTCTGTCTGAAAATTTTGCTCCGTGCACAACCCCGTGTGTAAACCAGTGTTTAAGCTCATGTTTAAACTCGTGTACAAACATCTGCGCATACACTTGCGAACAACATTGATACACCAGAGTGTATTGTGTGAAATGTACATGGGTTTAAGATTGCACGCAAGTTCAAACTAAACATTCGCTTGGATTTTTGTACACAAGCTCAGCATGGTACATGTTTTCGTGAAGACTGGAAATTCGGAAAATAGTTCCTCGGGAATTTTAGGAGAATAGTTAGTGAATACTTTGGAGATTTTTTTATTTTAAATTCTTTATTTAGCAGATTTTTAGCCACGGGCTAGTTCAGGAGAGTTTATGTCATGAGAATTCTTTAGAGAATTCTTAGCGAACCAAATTAAGAATTTTAAGAGAATTTCAGAGTGTTTCTAGAATTATGTAATGAATTATAAGGGACTCTATTTTTTATTAGATTTCAGTCACTTTTATTTTTTATGATTATAGTGGCTATGAAACTTAGATACCTACATTTTATGAACTTTAAAAAATTTCAAGTTTTTGTTAACTTAGACTTTTTTTTTTTTTCTCTGTTCGGGACATAACACCACTGCGACCAGTAATTTGATCTATTGTAGTATATCCCGTGTCCTTAGTTTAGTGCATGTCGTATTACTCCATCACTATTGAGAAATGATGAAGTATTCGGTTTTGATACAGTTGTCATTCTTGCCTTCATCGCAAGGAATCGATTCTAACTGAAAGGTTCCGCTATTTATACCCTTCGGAGTTGGAACACCCTCCAAAGGCGCGCCCCTTTGTCAGTCAAAATTGGATTCCTTAACAACAAAAACAAGCTATGACACCGATAATGACCATGCATCAGAACCCTAGTCTTAACCACTTCAAACTAGGGAACAACGATTAGAAGATTAGGAATCACATAGATGAAGACTAACTAACTCATTTTTCCCTTGTTTCAAGATCATCCTCGGTCCAGGCAACCCGAGGACTTATCACTATCAACAAGGCATAAAAATTAACAAGGACTAAGATGTGTTCCTTCGATTACTGAAAAATCCTGTTCCCCTAGTTTGAAGAAGTTAGGACTAGGAATCGGTGGTAGATCTTACATCCCGTAACGTACCACGAAAAGGTGATCTACCCACGTTACGGGGCAACTTAGACTTAGTAATAAGGATAGAACATGATATGAACTTTTATTCGCCCGAGATTTATACGTTATAGAAAAGATCGTGATTGAACATAATGTGTTTACACAAACTAGCATTCAGATAAGAATCAGGTAAATCCGAAATTACACATTGCGCTATTGCCAGTAACACCGGCTACATGATGAACTAGCCTACGACTAAAAATCACGATAATAGAGAAAAAACCGGCTAGGTTTATCCTATGGCTTGCCTTTCATAGTAACATGATTCCTTAATTCCCGTGACATTTATAAAAGAGAATTGAATTCGTTCAGGCTGGTTTTATTGATTTATGGTAAGAGATGAACCAGCCTCTGGCTGAAAGTCTCGCTTATAAAGATAACATAACCTAACCTTATTGATTTATTTTTTCAGCCCTCTGATGATAAATTATAATGATTAACTTTTTCAGTCTTCGGGAAATGGCTGTAATGTCGGCCTAAATACCCCTAATTTGGTCCATACATAAATTCAGCAATCGACTAAAATTTCAATAGCGACCAAAAATATCCATTAGTACCGTCCCAATGACGCGTTCATCTAGATAAAATTGATAAATAGCAGATTTTTAGCGATGGGCCCAATCTTAGATCCATAGGTCTACATTAGTGCCATTTCCCCTATACTGAATTAAATTATTTAAGTTTATGTTGAGCTCTTCGATGGTGGAACATCTTTAGATTCACTCATTTTTCAGTCTTTGTTCATGTTGAGTTTATTGCTTAAAATTTATTTTCAGCCCTTCGTTGATAGAACATAGGTTTAGATTTCTATAAAACATCCGTATTCTCGTTTTCGTTCGAGCCGTGTTTTCCATACAAAAACAAAGTTTAATCGTGTTTATATCCTTAATTGAGGCCTAAATCGCGATTTGAGGGGTTGAATGTTTGAAATCTTTAATCGCGTTTATTTCTTTAATTAATGCCTAAATCACGATTTGAGGGGTGTGATAATCAAGGAGGTAAACTTGATTAAAGATTTCGAACCCCTGAATTATTAAGGCGATTGTGATTTTTACATAGCGTCGATGAAGGGTGAGAGTTTTTGCGAGTGAATTTTCGAAATCTTATTTCAGTTTTTTTTAAAGAAATAACGACGTGATGAAGTTAACTAATCCGTTGCAGTTATTTGTTTAAACTTAATTCAATATTTACCAAATAACTTCTCGAGCTCGGCTAGCTTGATGCCTGCCACTTTTGCTTACTGAATAGGAGATCGTCTGTTTAAGACGTTTTGTCGTCGTCTGTGAGGTCACCGCGGGGACCGAATTCAAGTAACAGCAAGTTGAACGGGAACTTGCTCGTAGTTTCTCCAGGGCAGCCATGGAAATGTAATATTAAATCGATGAAATGCTCCCTTCGAAACGGGCAAAACAGAGTTACTGTTTTGCCCGTGTTTCTTTTAGTCAGAAGAGCGGAGCGACCGGCAAGCTTTTGTCATATACTTTATGAGAATTTTAAGCCAAAACGACGGGCAAGTTTGTTTTTTTTTTTAATATTCTTTAGAAGCTTATTTTAGAACCCTAAACCCCTCATCCGCTGTGCCAGTTGAATGCTCTCTTCTCTTTACACTTAAATTTGATATACTTTCTGGTTGTGTGTAAATTTTACTACTTACTAGGTTGAGTTACAATTTTCTAATTCCTATATTGCTTCTTTTTTCTTCTGCAGGTATGTTCCGTTATTACCATTCGAAGTTCATCTGTTCGACTTTTGGGACATTCGAGTTAACATGGTAAGGCTTTCATAAAAGTTGTCTACAGTAGAGTAATGGACTTATTATGAAACTAAGGGTTTCAATTCAAAGGTATTGCCAGCTTTTGAAATAAAGGGGGAGGGGATCTTGAACTCGGCATATTTCATGGGAAACCAAATCTGACCATTTATATGCCTGATTCGTTTCGATAATTGGCATTATTCACCGAATTTCAGGATTTCCTCAAAATTCTTCTTCGAACTCACTGTTATATTTTCGTATAATTATCTCCACAACACTCAGAATTATCTCCAGAAAACTATTGGGATTCACGCTGCCCTGCCGTTCCGTTTTCAATTCTTAAAAATTCTAGTAGAATTTCCCGCACAATTATCCTAACACCTCTCAATTTGGAATTATCTTCAGCAACCTCTAAGTATGCTGCCAAACTCTCATATAATTATCCACCGAAATTTATTACATATCTTCTCTTAATTGCCTTAGACTTCCTTTAGTTACTCTCATATTAATTCCCTTGTAATCCTCAACGGAATTTCCTTGAATATCTTCTCAGAATTCAACGAGTTCCGGTGCAGATGGCGTACCGTCGTTAGTCCTCGAACGCTGCCTGACTGCTCTCGCTACACCTCTAACCAACGTTTTCAATCTCTCCTTGATGTCTGGCGTTTTCCCAGCTTGCTGGAAAGAGTCTTTCGTGTTCCCAATTCACAAGAAAGGCTGCAAAAGGGCTGTTTCAAACGACCGTGGAATAGCTTGCTACCTCCAAACTTTTTAAGTTGATTATACTCGAAAAATTGGTTCAAAGTTTTACACACTGTATCTCTACGGATCAGCATGGCTTCATGCCTAAGCGCTCCACGACGACCAATTTAGTTACGTTCGTTTATCATTCGTGAAGTAGAACGTGGCCATCAAGTAGATGCTATCTAAAGGGCGAACACGAAATTATTGCGACACATTCAACAGGGCATAACTTTTTTACCATTGGGTAAAAATCAACCAAATTTTGCACACATTCTCATTGATGTGTATTGTGTACATGCTGTCAAACTCGAAGTCGTGTTTTTCGATTCAACGAAAATGGAGATGAACCAACGCGAGTTGAGAGAACAAATTCTTTCCAAACACCTGGAATTTCCTGACCTGTCGCACCGGCAGTTGGGAAAAATGTTGAACATTCACCATTCAACCGTCTCCAGAGTGTTGAAGCGGTTCCAGGAGCGGTTGACGTTGGACCACGGCAAAGGAGCTGGAAGAAAACCGGGACCGGAGAACAAAAAG